TGGTTTCAAATATGGTGAAGACCAATCATGGCGTGATTGCCGGCTGTGCTTTTGCCACCACAATGATGATGTTGTTCACGCTGGGTGCTTACGAGCAGGTCTACACACTGTGGCCCTCGCTTAGTCTTACACAGGTGGTGGATGATGGAAGCCTGCAGGCTACTGGAACGCACGAGCAAGTATTACAGGTCATCATACCAGCGGCGCGACGACTGTGCAAGGAGTTGGTCAACCTTGGACTTGAGCTCAGCCCGAACAAAGGACACGTCATCGCCACCAGCACCCAACTCGAGAAGCAGATAGAGGTTGCGCTTAAGCAGCACAAGTTCAAGAGGCACCGAATTGTCAGGCAGCTTGGGCACGATCGTACACTACGAAGAGGAGCTGGTGGAGCGGTGCAGCAAGCTAGAGTCACGGCTACGTCCCGAAGGATTTCGAGATACCGACGGCTGGCACTAGGTGGAAGGCAGATGGGACGACTATTTCGTGGAGGAGGCCTGGCATCGGTAATGTACACTGTGAAGGTGAAGGGTATGTCTGATACGCAGCTGAAGCAACTGCGAGCCATTGCAGGTCATGCCTTATTTGGTACGGCGCGAGGACGGTGCAGGACCATGGAGTTTCAGTTGTCGCACTGCCCCAGAGCAGACCCCACGTTCGCTGCGGATGAGTATCCACTGGTATACTGGCTCAGAGCGCTGCATGGGAAATGGGTCAAACACAGGGCCATGGCTTTGGCGTTCATGCAAGCGCAGAATCAGCTGAGGACGTGGAGAGGGGTACGAGGGCCTGCTGGAGCAGTGGTAATGACTCTCAAACGGCTCAATTGGACGACGACGTCGTGGGATTGTTGGATTACCGAGCGTGGAGCCAAATTGAATCTACATGACATAGGACCTGCTACGCTGAAACGCATCGTGAATCAGGCCACTCAACAACGACTTCTACGAGAAATGCCACAGTCTCGAGGCATGGAAGGCCTCGCTGGGCCCCCACTGCTGGAGCCAGCAAAGAAGTTCATCAGCACGCTGTGGCAACAAGAGGACTACAAAGGTGCTGGACTAATACGGACATGGTTGGCTGGTGGGTTCTACTGCCAAGAGCGGCTACACCAGGTACGACCAGTACATAGCCCACTCTGTGCCATGTGTGGTGTGGAAGCTGGCACCGATACCCACCGCATTTTCAGGTGTGACTGACACGCGCTAGAGCGATCCAGTTGGACTGGTGAGGAGCGTGCTCTACTGACGTGGGGACGTACAGAGCATGGGCAAGGGCATCCCATCACGATGATGACTACCAAAGGGCTCATGCCAGATCCGACTTTCTATGCGCCGTTGCCGACCTTCGATGACATTATCAATTGGCACAAATGTACGGTCAGTGGGCTAATCAGCGGTGTGGTGTGCACAGATGGCAGCTGTATCTTTCCCCACTGTGAGGTTCGAGCTAGAGCGGGATGGGCGTTTGTGATGATTGATGAGGCAGGAGCTACAGTGGCGGCTGCATCTGGACCAGTACCTTATCCATGGCAGACATCTGGAGCAGGCGAGATCTGGGCGGCCACCAAAGCTTTGAAGCACAAGTCAGCTGGGCACATCACGATTGTAACCGACTACGAAGATCTCAAGAAGGGATGGGCACATGGTTATCCGTATGGGTGCAATGTTGGCCATCAGTACATGGAGCTATGGAAAGATTTCTGGCAAGTCGCATTAGACATTGGTGTTGCAGAGATTGATGTTGTCTGGATTCCTTCGCACATGTCAAGAACCGGGGCCATCGACCAAGGAGTCTGCTTGCCCTACTGGACAGGTAACAAGAGCGCTGATTATTTTGCAAGGCTGGGCGCCGACTGCCATCCCCGCGAGAAGTCCAATGAGAAGTTGCGGAAGATGCGCGAGGCGGCTGCACCTTTGACTTTGAAATGTGTGCTGCGCATTCTGCGGCTGTGTCAAAAAGGCGGCTGGAAGGACGTCCAGCAAATGAGTGAAGGAAGACCCGCGCGCGGGCCTCATGTCATCCTAAGCGAGGATGGAGGCCATGTAATTCACAGGTTTAAGGGGCGATGGGTGTGCGGGAGGTGCGGAGATAGTCGTGCTCATCGTGGAGACCTCGCGCGCCTTCCGTGTCTTGGGGATCCCAAAGGGGTCCGAGAAGCGCACCCGTCCCATTAGCTATGGCGCACTGGTCCAATGGTTTGGTGTTTTGAATGCGCCGCCAGATGTGTGTCTAGGGCGTTTTTGATTTCCAAACCGTGTTTGGGGAGACCGCCCCTGGGGTCTGCGAGGCACTTCAAGAGAAGGTACCTCATCCAGGGGCGGGGCCCTTCTGGAGAGAAAGTCGGTAATGGTTTCAAGAGGCCTGTTCCTATTTTCGCTTGAGTCGACCGTTGAGCGTTCGACGGGATTATGAGTATTGCTTTTTGGCCTGGTACATCGTTCTCGGCACACCTCGTCGTCATCCAGAGTCTCCAGAGCCTCCTCCTCATCATCATCTTCATCCACAGCATGATCATCATCAACAGCAGCAGCATCATCATCGTCAACAACATCAGACTCATGATCATCATGATCATCCTGATGATGATCATCACCACCATCACCACTACCACCACCACCACCATCATCATTACCAGCATCATCAACACCAATAACAATAACATAATCAGCCGCAGCAGCCTCGTCGCCGTCGTCGCCATCCACATCATCCTCATCATCATCATCATCATCATCATCAGCATCATCATCATCATCAGCAGCATCAACATCATCATCATCATCATCATCATCATCATCATCAGCATCATCATCAGCATCATCATCAGCATCATCATATCATCAGCATCCTCATAATCAGCAGCAGCATAACCATAATCAACATCAATCATCGCCAGTCATTATCATCATCAGCGACATCAGCATCAGCAGCATCAGTGGCATCATCATCATAACCATCATCAGCAGCAGCATCAGAAACATCAGCATCATCCGCATCATCATCATATCATCATCATCATCATCATCATCATCATCATCATCATCATCATCATCATCATCATCATCATCATCAGCATCAGCATCAGCATCAGCATCATCATCATCGTCAAGATCAGCATCATCATCATTATCATCATCGTCACCGCCAACACTATTAACATCATCAGCATCATCATCATCAGTATCATCATCATCATCAGCATCAGCATCCTGATCATCATCATGATCATCATCTCATCATCATCGTCGTCGTCGTCATCATCCACATCCTCATCCCCATCCTCACCATTGTCACCATCATCATCAACAACACCAGCATGTTCATCAGCAGCATCATCATCATCATCATCATCATCATCAACAGCATCATCATGATCGGCATCATCATCAGCATTCAGCAACGTAGTCGCCATCATAATAAACAGCAGCATCATTATCAGCATCAGCATCAGCATCAGCATCAGCATCATCAGCAGCATTAGCATCAGCACCATCATCATCATTATCATCATCATGCTCATCATCATCAGTATCATCATCAGCATCATCCGCATTATCACCATCATCATCAGCAGCATCATCAGCATCATCAGTATCAGCATCGGTAGCCTCAGCATCGTCATCAGCCTCATCATCACCAGCATCATCATCATCATCATCGTCATCAGCATCACCCTCATCATCGTAATCATCCTAATTATCATCATCAGCATCAGCATCATCATCATCATCCTCATCGTCATCGTCATCGGCATCGGTATCCCCATCAAAACCATTAGCATCGTCATCATCATCATCATCATCATCATCATCATCATTATCATCATCAGCATCGTCATCATCATCGTTATCGTCACCACCACCGCCACCATCATCAGCAGCAGCAGCTTCGTCGTCGTCGCCATCCTCATCATCAGCAGCATCATCAGAATCCTCATCATCATCATCAGCATCAGCATGAGCATCAGCATCATCATGTTCAGCATCAGCATCAGTATTGGTATCATCAGAATTTTCATCAACATAAGTATCATGAACAACATCATCATCATCATCATTATCATCATCATCATTATCAAAATCAGCTTTATCAACATCATCATCAGCTTCATCATCATCTGAGGGGGTTGGGGGACCGTGCGCCTGCTATCCTCCCCGCCAAGGCCTCCCTCAGAAGTCAAGAGGCCCCCGAAGAGTCCCCGAGACGGGGCCAAGTTCAACTCACGCCTGCGTCTGGAGCCTCTTGGACCGCCCCCGTGCTTCACTGGGACTTCAGAGGGCCCCCGAAGGCCCAATCCCTGCGGGGCTCCGAGATGGATCCGAGCTGTCCAGCGGGACCGCAGAATCGGCGCCCGCTTGCGGCGCAGACCCCCGCCGCCGTCTCCGGGGTCCACCCCCTCGTGCCCGTCACCACCTTCCGCCGCAGCTACCTGTCTGCGGGGGAACTCACACGTCGGTCGGGAGAGGTAGGTAAAAACATAAAGTAGGAAGGCGGATAAAGTAGACTGGGCTCAGGCCCTCCCGGCGAATGACAGAACACCGCAAGGGCATATCGATTCTCGAAGTAGGAAGGCGCCCAAAGTGGAGTGGGGATGGAGAATCCAGACAAATACCTACATGCAACGACCGTCGAGTAACCGCCACGCCGTGGCCACGACGGCCCTGTGCTTCCTCGAACGCACTCGAGCGCCCGCTCGGGAAGCACCAAACCCTGGAGTTCAAAAGCACCGAAAGACTGACTGAAAGAGCAAGAGACACTCAGACGGGTAGGACGCGAACGAGCTGGCCGATCGCGAACATCCCGGGCAGTCTGCCCGAGAAGCGATCGACGGCTGCGCCGAGGAGGAAGGACAAACGCGGGAGGGTAATCGCATCATGGGCCGGCGGGGGGGCAAGGGACGCATTGACAAAAACCACGGGGGGCCGAGGAAATCTCCCCACCGCAGCCCCAGTCCTCACCAGCCTCGCCCCCGATGCCTGGGGAAGCTCTGAGACTGAGGCGTCCAGACCGCTGGCAGGCGGGGTCCCGGCGGCCTCGGCGCCGCCCAGAGCCGCCAACTTCTCCTTTTTGTCCTTTTCCTTCCCCGCCTTTCTCTCCTTCTTATTCTCCTTTGCCTTGTCCCCCTTTTTCTCCTTTTTCTCTTTCCTCCTTCCCTCGGCATCCTTCACGGAAGCGCCCTCCACGACCAGAGCAGTGACCGCCCCGTCAGGCAGCAGGCAGCTGTCCTTTTCCTTCTCCTCCTTTTTCTCCTTTTTCTTCTTCTTCTCAATGTTCCTCCTATCGGCATCCTTCGCGCCAGCGCCCTGCATGACCAGAGCAGCGAGCGGCCCCTCGGGCAATAAGCAGGATGACAATGGGGCCGCCCGGACAACCGAGCCTCCCTTGACTTCGGCGTTGGTGGTCCTCCTGTAGTTTTCGCGCACCTCCGGCAACGCCCGTGCCCACTCCGCCGCGGCCAGTTCTGCCTCCGTGAAGCCGGTGAGCTTGGCCGCGCCATTCTTACCCGCGCCAGGGCGGGAGCGGATGAAACGCGACATCGCACGTGACCGAGCAGCGCTGGCCGAAACGGGAGGACTCGCACAAGAGGGAGGCAAGACGGCGAACAGAAACTGTGGGTCCTAAGACGGCGCGGTGACAGACCTTGCGGCGGCGTGGGGATGCCCAAAGACCCCACCGAACGGTCCGGCGCCACACGATTTTGAAGCCTCGGGGGCCCGAGTCGCACGAGGCATCCCTCGGAGAACGACCAAAGTCCCAAAACCGTGGGCTCACGCCAGATCCCCACTGACTCACAAAACCGTGTGGTCACCGCACCGTTTGGCGGCCCTCGACAGAAGGAGGAGCAGGGATGGAGCATGAGGTAGGAGTGGTAGGGAGAGCGGATGACGAAACCAGTCGCCAGCCCCGATGCGCATTCCCACTGACCATTCAGTGCTGCTGAACCGCCCATTTGCACATCTTGGGAAACCTCAAAAAAACACTGCGCGCGACATCTGATTCCAACATTATCGTTTCCTCTCGTTTGGGCCCCCCTGGAAATTCACCAACTAAACGTTTAACGTGTCCAAGTTCCCTTGTACCCAAAACACATAAAACCAACCCTCCGAGCGTGGGTGTTCTAGCGGAACAGCGCTTCCAGACTACGTACCCATGATGTGTCATGGGTGATGTATATCCCTGACCCACTCATAAACACATCTTACACATGGCGACCCCCAACTAAGCAGGACCCATGCCAATTGCAATACCATAAAAAAGCACGAAAACCTGTGTAACGTCGAGCATGCGCGAACGCCCCGCAAACATTTTGCTGTACTGGCTTTTGACGGGGACGGTGGGGGGGGCGCATGTTCCCTGCCGCGCGCAAGATAACCAACCCTGTCACAAAACAGTACACAATACATTCTGCCTGTCCATCTGGAGCATGCGCGGGCGCCCCGCGACAATTTTTGGGTCTGTTTGACAGGGACGGCGGGGGTGGGCTCATATGGCTCGTTGCGCGCGCAGGCCAACATTCCTTGTCAACTTGCAATACCAAATACACTGTGGTTCCAAATCTGGAGAATGCGCGGACGCCCCATGAACACTCCGAATGGTTTTTTTTGTTACCAGGGATGCTCGGGTGCTACTTGTGTGTTGGGAGGGCGGGTGAGACTTAGCGAGACAGCTTTTGCCTTGTGACCAGGAAGTGTCTTGACACCTCTCCTGCCCCCACTCCCCAGTGACATAGACCCTCGGTTCGCAAGGTGTTGGAGAATCCGTTCGGGCCTGCGGTGAATCTAGAAAGCACAAGATGGCATGCAATATGGCACCAGACGGTTCAAGCTGGCCCCAAATCGCCTCAAATATATCCCCAAGAGGCCCCGGAGGAGCCCCAAGACGGGTCACAGCGGCTACGGATCCTCCCACAGATGCCACACAACGTCGACATCCCTTCGAAAACCTGCATTTGATCTGGATTCAGGAAAACTCACATCTTCGGTTATGCTGGGCCTATGCGGCCTCTAGACTCGTAGCTCTTGTTAAGGGCACGAAACTGGGAGGTCGCGTATTCATGGTCTCTCTTCTTTTCTCTTCTCTCATGTATGTATCTTGGTTCCTGCCCCTTGTCTTTCCACTCCTGACTCCTGGTCCGCCACCAAATGGTCAGGAAGTTCTCACATGCCTCTAGGACGGCCCCGAGGGGCCCCGACAACGGCTCGAATCCAAGACGCGGCAGGCGCCGAAAGCGTGAAGCGAGTCCAAAGAGCACGTGAGGAGGAGGAGCGGCACGCAGGTCCACAGCGACAAGTGGAGCACCCAAGCGTCCGCCAGGAAGCCGCGAGCACCAGGCTTTGCTGCAGCACGTACGGCGCCAGCAGGACGCAGGCACGGCCCGAGCGTCGGCGGCGGGAGCTGGGGCTGCTAACAGCGCGCTGCAACGCAAAATGCCGGCACTGTGCCCACGGGCTGCTGAGCTGCTGAGCTGCAGAGCAACTGAACTGCCCGAGCGGCGCAGCGCAGCGAGAAGCCACCCGCCAACGCCAAGGAATTGGCGGCGGAGAACGGCAGGGGCAGGGGGAGGGGAGGAGCCACCCGCCCGGCCAGCTCAAGCATCACCGCAGAGCAGGGCAGGGGCGCCCGGCCAGGGCTGGCCAAGCAGGGGCGCCCAGCTGCAAGAGCAGCCGGGCAGGCGGCCTGGCGAGAGCCGGGGGCAGGCTGCCCATCGCGCAGCCGCGAGGCAGCGCAGTGGGCGACACCAGGCGCGCAGCACGGCTGACTGGCACCTGCGCGAACAGCATGACGACCTAGCAGCTCCCTCCCGAGCGGCACTGAGACATCTCCAGCACGTAACCTGCACTGCCGCACCTGATTGGTGCACATACCTCTGCAGGGAGCGCCCATCTTGGGGGGAGCTCATTTTTTCTTCCGGCGGGAGGCGGCGCTGGGGCAGGTCCACGACCTGCACATACAGCCGCATCTCCCGCTTCTCCCTGGCCTCTTGCATGGCGCGGTACTGATGAGCCGCGCAGGGCGCCCAGCCGATGGCCATCTCAAACCCATGACGGACAGCGGGTAATTGTGGGCGCTTGTCGCTCTGACCTGATCGGACCACCCAGCTTTCCACAATTTTCCTCTGCTCGGCCGTGAACGCACCGCCTTTCCGCATGGTCTCCAAGAGCTCAGGCATGAAAGGGCAGGTCTTGCGCGGACGAACGATACGGTCCATGAACTGGTGCGCTTCGCACAGGAACATGGCATGGGTGGCCTACCCATTGAGAAAGCGCATGGACGGGTCGACTGGGCCCACGCGCTGAAGCACCGAAGACCGCTCGCCCTTGCCCGCCACCAGGCCCAGTTGATATGAGTCACCCAGGAGCGCGTCGATCGGATCTTACCAAGAATGCGCCCCCGCTCTATGCGCAGGTGAACATCGCAATTCTTCTGCGCCACCCAGTCTCTGCGCATGCGATACGACGCCGCACCGAGATGCGCGGTCCACGATGACGGACTCGAAATTATTCAGGCGCTCAACGAAACCATCGTCCACCTTCTGCCGTGAGGGCGTGGCGAGATACGCGGACTCCTGGCTGTTCAGCCTGAACCCGCCGCGGATGGTCTCGCACTGGCGGCACCGGTGGCGACGAGGGCACCGGGCAGAGCGGAGGTTCCACGGGTTCGGGGGTGTCGGCCGCAACGCAGGGCGGGGGCGGGGCGGGGCAGAGGTCGGCGCGCGCGGCTGCGGCGGGGGGGGGGCGCCTGCCCGTGGCCCGCCGCCTCGGCCTGCCCAGGGGAGGAGGCTTGCTCGGCGGGGCGCCGACCACGATGGACGTTCCCGACGCGGAGATCTGGGACATGGGTGGGGGCGATGCAGATCCGTGCGAGTGCGATCTGGCCGATGCGCATGACCTGCGTCCGCCGCCTCCGCCGACGCCGGAACAGCGCGGCGTCGAGCAGGCAGTCGGGCTAGCAGAGCCACAGGGCGAGGACACCGCGAGGTTCTGCGCGGCTGCGCGTTACGAAGGCAGCCGGCCCGGGTTCGTGTTCAAGAAGGGGGAGCAGGGCCTGGGCTACTACAGCGACCCGCGCGCGGAGCGCGAGTTGTCGGAGGCAGCCGCCCAGAGAGAGCCGAAGTCGCGGGCGCCAGGCCGCGCCGCGTCGAGCGCGGCGGCGTCTGGCAGACCTGCATCGAGCGCGCCCCCGTCGCCAGCCGCCGCCGCAGCTGCTGGCGCGAGCGGCAGCGGTCCGCCCGGCAGCCTGCAAGAGCACGCGTTGCACTCGCTGCAGGCCGTGTTCATGGACGCCATCAACATGGCCCACTACCAGACGGACTACACGACCAAGGCGGGGCCGATCGCGGGGGACCTCGGAGTGCTGCACGCGCAGAGCACCGGGTTGGAGTGGCTTCGACTCCAGCAGAAGGCCGAACGGGAGGCGGATGAGGCGGCGGAGGCGGAGGGCGAGGAGGACGTCGATGGGGCCCGGGCCGCTGCTGCCGCTCGTCGCAGCGGCTGGGGCGGAGTGCTCGACACTGCCAGGCGAACTGTCATCAAGCTCACGACCAGCTCGCACCGGGCGCTCCTGAAGAAGCTGCCCGAGATGATGTTTCAGATGCAGTATGGCCACGAGTGCTATTGCTCTCATGACACCTGGACTCTGTATTGCAAGGGGATCGCGGCGCTGGCGTTCCAGGCAAGCTCCGCCGTTCATCAAAAAATGGACGACTTCTGGACCGACCCGCGCGCAGACCACATCGAGGTGGACCAGCCGGCCGCGAGAGAAGAGGACGGCGAAAGGGGGGGCGGCATCATGGCTGCACTGGGCGACGGGCGCGCAACGCTGCACGCCGAGGTCGTCGACAGCGTTGTCGGGGAGGGCGCGGCCGCCGGTACTGCTGGGGAGGGGAAGCCCGAGCAGGAGCAGCAGCAGGCGGTGGGATACAAGGCGCGGCTGGACCACGACACGAAGATGGACTGGCTTGGCTGCATCGCGGCGACAGGGGGCCCCTGAAGTCCATGGGCATGTACCATTACGCCATGTACGTGTACACGGCGCAGGCCAACCCGCTCCACTTCGACCCGTTGGACTTCGAGACGTACGCGTTCGCGGACACGCACCCAACTGCCGCCTTCCGAGTGCAGAAGCTCCGCGACGGCGCGCCGCTCAGGGCGCCCAGGTTCTTCGGCTTCACGATGCCTTCGAAGGAGAAAGAGGCAGAGGTGAACGCGCTGTTCAAGTCTGTGATCTTTCGTCCGTTGCAGCCTGCTAAGAAGGGGGCTGCGGCCCGGGCGCCCTACAGGGCCGGTGTCGACGCGTCTGGGAAGCATAAGCCTGCCTGGGAGGAGTGGTGGGCCAAGCAGTTGGCGTTCTCCAGGCAGTACGAGGAGTGCGAGCGGCGAGCTGGAAAGTGGTTCACGATCGAGGACATCGATCTGAACCGGGGCTCAGAGGATGGCCCGGGCCATTTTGCACAGCGCCCCAGCGCCGCCGAGTTCATGGCACGCTGGACCGCCCAGGTCGCGACGAACCTCGACGTGGAGGCGGAGGCGAAGGGGCG